TATATGTATATATCATTACTCTATATACTCTAAATATATACTCTAAATTTTAAAAGAACGTTCTGATGTGTAATTAAACACCTTAATCAGATGACGTTATATTTTTTTTATATTTAAAAACAGGACGGTAACTTGTAGTTTTGCTAATCCTGGATGGAAAAAGAGGCTATTTATGCCAAATAACTTATTTTTAATTTATTTAACTTCACATGATTTAAAATAACAAATACTATTTACGGATAGAATAAAAACTATAGTTTTTTCAGTTATTTTTTTTTATCGAAATTGGTAAAAATGAGTGCAAAACTTTATATTTTTGACTCAACAAAATTTGGACGGAGTATATTTTGAGAGTATTTTTTTCATGCTTTTTTAGGAACCTATTTATTGCCCTTCGTAATTATTTAAATTAAAATCTTACATGCCCAGTACTAGTAATTTTGATCAATTTTATTGCAATTATCAGGTGAAATTTTGATCAATGTACTGCATTAGTAGTCCAGTCATTATAGAAAGTTTACCTCGGAATTTGAGATACCCAGCTGTAAGTCTTGTATATTGACACCCTAAAGTTGTCTCAAAACCTTTACATTTCGTCAATATTGTGTCAATACCATAAAGGTTTACAAGTATTTATACTTACAGTTGGGGAATCTCGAATTTCGAGATTCTCATCTAATGTAGGCTTAAGTGACTGGACTATAGCACATTTAATTTTTTGCTCCTTGATGAATTTAAATAATATAATGCTCCCCTTTCTAATGATTTTGGCGTTGTGGTAAATTTCCGTTTGAAGTAATATATTTTTATTAAAATGTATAAGTTTCATGCTTTTATCTTGATGATTACTGATAATTTTTTTTAAACATATTTTTTTATTTGTTCCCATGGGCCCATGCATCCAAAATAATATTTTGTTTTTTCAAAGTAAGGACCTTCCATATTAAAGACCATTCTTATATATGTATATGTAAGATATATATATATATACATATATATATATACATATATACAATATGTTATTTAGTGTGTGTGTGTGTGTGTGTTCCATCTAAATCCATGTCGATGGCCGAAGAACTGAATGTTGATAAACCAAACAAAATAGTAAACAAACAAATAAACATTTCATTTATCCTGTGGAAAATCTGTGTATAAGCGATTTCTTGTCACTTGTAGAAATCTTGCTGTGTGAGACTAATAATTCGAAAGACATTTAATCCGTAAGACTCAATAACAAATAAGTTCAGATGATATGCCAAAATGTTCAGAAACCTCTCAGAAAAATATATAAAAATTTTCATTGTGAATTTTGTTGCGATTACTATAATTTACCCTAGGGGAAGTTAAAAAGGACGAAATTTTTTTTTCAAAGTTTTAAAAAAATTTAAAGGCTTTTCCAAAATTATTAATTTTTAGTACGGGAAGTTCCAGCAATTCGCCTTAAGACACGCAAAATTCAGAAAAACCCGGGACACAAGGTGGATTGCGGAACTGCCCCGGCTATATCGGGACGTATGATCACCTTGATATTAAACGAAAATTTGTAAAAATGAACAGCCAATCTGTGTCGTGGTATGGCTACTTCACGATTTATTTCAAGGCGTCCTCAAAAGATGCATTTTATTAATTTTAGACAATGGCGTTTTTAATACGTGTGACGTTGAAGGCAGTAAGGATAAAATGTAAAAGTATGAGGTCGTGTAAGTTGCGCTACACCCACTTGAGAGTGTGGGCAACTTGCATTGAATTCCAGACAAAAACAAAAGTGATGGTACCGAACGATAATACATCACTAGACGAAACACAGCATATCATCATGTGTGCCAATTGTCTTGACTCGTGACACAGATTTCGATGCGGTTCTGGCTCTTCTGGTTCTTCTGCATCGTCCAATACTCCTGCTCTTGCTCTTGACGACCGAAAAATACCGACAGACTTACTTTCGATTATGATAATACAGATTTGTTATATATATATATATATAAATATATATATATATATATATATATATATATATATATATATATATTGCACTATTACTATCACAACTAGTGGTATATCGCATCATGCCTTAAGGCAAATTGCTGCAACTTCCCGTACCGTAACAAAATGTTCGAGGAATATTAAATGTATTCAAATAGATTATTATAAGTACTGTAATATTTCCTCTTATTTATAAGAATTATATAAACTGAAATACAAAGTTAAAATCATTTAAAGTATATAAGTGAGCTTTAGAACTTTAGTCAGAATTAAAATTCAAATCTGAATTATTTTCGATATACAAAAACATATTTTTTTTTGGAAAAAAAGTGCGGACTATCTTAAAGTTAATATTGAGATTCAAAACTTTCAGAGAATTTTTTTTATCAATTTGAAAGCATTTGAGCAAAAAATCTAAAATATTCATATTAAGGATATCCCTTATCTACATATCAACATTTTGCGTAAATCTTTAATATTTTCTTCCAAACGTTCATAATATAAGGTTGTCAAATATCTCCCTTCCGCCTTTTTGTATTATAAACCAAGAGCAAAAAAGCGGAAGGGAGATATTTGACAACCTTATATGATTTACAACTAAACGTTTAATAGTATTGCCATTTAACTAGTTAAATACTTCGATGTGGTAGGGCCTTTGTAATTTTCATATGCTAAATAAATGATCAGATGCATGCCATGTATCTAACATAGTAACATATATTGAAAGGTCGCAATCGATTTCGTCAATTTTAAATACCCAATCAAACGAAGGTTATTTTATACATTGTTTCTCAAATATATCACTTATCGTTTTATTGCGATTGTATTATGTTTTTTATTATTTTGAACAGCAATCAGAACTTGAGAATACTATACGTTGTTGTTGACCTAATTCTAGTTGGATTTTCAGATGGCAACCCCAACTGTTGTCCCATCTCTGTCTGATAAATTATTATTACGATTTCTGTAATAGCGCGACTATTTATTGATGCAGCAATGCCGGATAAGAAAGAAAGATATCCAAGTGAAAACCGTTGTCATACTGCGGCTACTTGAAGTGGGATCGAACCCGGAACCTCTGATTCAAGTTTAGATTGTATTATGTTATTATACTAATTATATACGAAAAGCAAGAAAAGCAAAAAAATAACCTATATAGGTTATATAATTGGAAAAAAACCTAGCAGAATTGGAAATGAGATTTATTAACTTAGGGTAGTATTACTAACCGTAGGGTTCGTAGGGTAAGTAATAGCAATGGGCTTTTAACATTTCGGTATATCTCAGAAAAAATGGATGTGTGTGTGTGCGTTTTGTGTCCGCAATTTTGCGTCGACGTTTTCGAGCGCACGAATCAACCAATTTGAATGGTTCAAAATACATTGGATTTCTATTGATAGGGAGAAGTGCTGATTAGTTTTTGGTAAGGGCAGGCCAGTCATTACGGATATAACTTTTTGCTTCTGTTGACGAAACTATTGCTATTAGATTTTTTTTATTTCAAAATTTAATTTTTTGTCCAAAATTTTTTGTTTTGTATTTAGAAAATAATTTAGATTCTAATTTTAATTCTGGCTAAAATTCTAATGCTCACTTATATACTCTAAATAAATAATTTTAACTTTGTAATTCAGTTTATGTAATTCTTCTAAATATTAGACAATGTTACAGTATTTATAATGATCTATTTGAAAACATTTAATATTCCTCGAACGTTACGGTACGGGAAGTTCCAGCAATTTGCCTTAAGGCACGATACCATGCACCATGATTACATTTTGAAATTTGTAGAAACAATAGCATTGCAAAAGTTTAAAGATATACAAGGGTTAAAAATATACAAGAAGAATGTGCTTAAAAATGAACAAAATGAAGTATATGTATCTTTATTTAAAAAAAAAATAAAACTAATATATATAAAGTTAGTAAGTGTAATAAGCGAATGATATAACATCTTCAAGTTTTTCAACATTTGATTCCTCTAATACTATCTAAAGTACTTATCTAAACTTCACTATTATCTGACTTACTAATCCAAAGTTCTTCAGTTTTTGGCTAACGTAATACCTCTTAATGGTTCTTCGCTTTTTTAGTAATTAAAGCCTTTAATATGAACCAATTTTTATAGCACACAAAAACTGGTACACCTATTATCAGTTTTAGTTAATAAAATGATTCATTACATTTGTTTCATATTTGGATGAATGTTCATCCATAATTATCCTAACGCCACACTCTGCTTGAAATAATGAATTATAATAAAGAATATTTTTCAAGAATGCCATAAATAATATAAAATTTATTGCCGTTGATAAATTTATATATTTATAATTTATATATTACATTTAATGTATGTGTTTGACATTTTGAGTGTGTTTGTGTGTGCGATGCTGTTCAAAAATAATAAATATTCGGATAGGCAGTTAATCAAATGTCATCGTCTAAAAAAAACATACAAATACTATGAATGTAAATTTGATTTGAATAGAAATCGCTTAATCACTGAATCATCGCCTGTCATTATTAGTAGGACCGTGCATTTCTTCATTTATCAATATGTAAATAGATTATGTAATGTGGATGCTGAGGTCTTCACTCTAATCCAGTATTTTTGATAAATTGTTGTAATATATCATAATCGTAAATATTTAACAAACATTTATGTATATATTATTCATCATATATTGTCATAGGAGCCTATATTAAAAATGTTGATCCCTTAATTGTTTCATTCTTCTAGTATCTATTTTTTAAGTCATAAATTGTTTTTATAATAAAACACAAATTCAACTTAAAAATATTTATTGTAAAAGAATAATGATTATCAACAAATAGTTGATGACATTTTCAATTCATTTTATAATATAAAATCTGATATTTTACAAGTATCATACCTCTGACTAAATGCTTATGAACACAATTGGGTATTACATATAAATACATAGAATTAAAAATAAGACTGTAAAGTTTTTTTTTGATCAATTAAGTATTTTCTGAAATCATACGCTGTCATTTTCTTATAATTGTCCTTGGCTTCTCAACCAGTCAAGGGATCTTTGGATTGCTTCTGGAATTGGAGGAGGAGTTGGTAAATGACTGGCTTGAGGAACAAAACCATTTTCATCAGCTGTGTAATCTACACGATATTCCACGTTGTCTGGGCCAGTATATTGGAAGAAACCATGTGCCTTCATACCTTCCTGGTCGGTTCCTTTGTTGTGGAGTTTACCTTGTTCTTCGGCTAAGATTTTGTTTTCGGTTTCATATCTGCAATTTTGCAAAATAATAATATAATAATCAATAATAAAGAATATAATTATCAATACATATCCATAAATTAATTATAGATTGATGTTTTACTACTTTTTGAAGTTTTTATAGCAAGATATAAAAAAGTTCTATTTAAAAAAAACGCGGAACTTGTTCGATACTAATATGTAGTTGTTTGGCTTATTAAGCGGTCATTTACTTTTACATATAAAATTCCTTTTTATTTGTTTCAATTTAAAATGTTTTGTGAATACTTAATTTTCTATGGTTCACATCTTCCAATACTTGAGCTACTTATTACAGTACTAAAGTAATCCAAACTTACAAATAATGGTAACCATCTTCTTCTTGATCTTTCTCGAAACGGATGATTCTGTATTTGCCGTTGTAGCTGTCTACATTATTGGTTGGACGGTTTGGTACAAATCCGCTTCCTGATCCAGATCCAGATCCAGATCCATGTCCATGTCCATTACCTGCTCCACTTCCACCTCCATTTGCATTACCGTTACCATGTGGGAAACGGTTTCCAGAACCATGCCCGGTTCCAGATGCATGTTGGTCTGGTCTGTATTGTCCTCTGTCGCCATCTCCTTGGTGTACATACTTGCCGTTGTCACCATTGTATTGACCTCTGTCGCCATCGTCTACATGAACGTATTGACCATTGTCGCCATTGTATTGTCCCCTGTCGCCATCGCCGATATGCACGTATTTGCCGTCGTCACTGGGGTAGTAGCGCCCATCGTTACCACCTTTGTTATACAATTCTGGCCTGTATTGACCATCATCTTGGGCAAATGTTACAGCCACATAGGCCAAGACTAGAATCTGAAAGTTGAAGACATAAATGTATAAAATAATGTTTGTAATCGTATTGCACATTTATATTGTACTAAGTCACTACATAAACATTTTTAATTAATACCGAAAACAATGAAATTGTGTAAATATTTCTTCATGTAATAAATTATGATTACACTGTGAAGCGTAAGCGTATCATAACGTATACTCCTACTTTTGATTTCACTTTGCTTCCTCACTAATTTGTAGAATTACTTTCATAAATATTGTTATTAAAACATAAAAATGCACTATTATTGATATCCTTTTCAAATTTATATAATGATTTTCGTATTGTTCTTCAAACTTTGCACTATTTTTTTAATATCGATTATCATAAACTATTTAATATTCGGAGGGTCGTATTAGATTTGTTATCACTAATTTATTTAATCACATTCGTGTATCCATCGGTAAATGTATTTATGATCACCATGTACTTACTATGAATCCGTTCATTGTATATTGCACTTGTACACTAATAAGAGATCGATGCAAACTACGATGGAGAACAATGCAACAGTTGGCTTATATACAGTCCACACTTCATCAAAATTGATCCACAAAATCAGATCTTTGAAGGTTGTATTGGCGTTTATTGCTCCCCACGGATTTTTTATAGCTGTCTAATATTTTATAAGAAAGTGACACAAATATTGCTCTGTTATGTAAATTGCTCTCGAAGAATTCCAATGACGACCATATAGATCTTCTCGGGCGCCATAGTGCATACGAAGATGTATCGTTGTTCTAGTCAAAAATATTTTTAATTATGTATTTTAAATTATAATCAGATATTACGATTTGGTTCACATTTAGATTCGATCTTTGAAGGACCGCCAAATATATCACAATCACATTCCCACTACTCATCTCATTCTTTGTCGTGACTTATATTCTGATGTAAATATTCTTTCATTTTGCTAAAATTCAGAACAAATATTACTCTAGTTTTTATTTTGGCAGAGAGCGATTGATAACCCATATAGAACTTAATCAGTAATGTGCACTTTTTTATTGATCCTTGTGTGCGTAAGTAACGTTCCTTTCAAATTTTTTTTTTGCTTAAAATTTCATGCTGAATATCTGAAGTCTATTTTCAAAAATATATCAATTTTGATTATACTCTGCATACATGCATAATTATAAGTTGCTATTAACATTAATTAAATATTAATATTAAAACACTAACGCTTTCATCGAGTATTATTAACGAGCACTAATAAAGTTTCATTACTACTTCTGTATAAATTGTGCTAGGTCTATTAATTTCTATATATGGATATTTTCGATTTTTTTTGCTCCAATGGGCTCAAATGTTTAAAATTGTCTTAAAGTTTTAACTCATATTAACTTTAAGATGGGTAAAATTTCATTTGTTTTTGAGAATTTTATAACTTAGCGATAAATATATCAAAATTTAAAAAATAACATTTTATTAGCTTATTTTGACCACAAACAAAAAAAATTACAACAATAATTATATATTTTATAAAATAAGTATATACTTTGGAAGAAGCTTTGGTTGGAGTTCGGAGATCCTTTATCAATTTGGAACCCTTGGGAGCAAAGAAAATCGAAAATATGTATATTAAGGGCCACCATAATATTATATATATATATATATATATGTATATATACATACACATATAGGTTTAAGATTTATTATTGTTTACTCTCCTAACAAATTCAAGCAAAGCAAAAATGTTTATTCACAAGTTGTGTTTGTTCACAAGTTTTTTAAATTTGCTTTGGACGTCCGTAATTGTAATATCAATTTAATAACAATTTTAATTGATTTAATTATTAAATTAAAATTCGAATTTTCACAAATTATTTATTAACTAGAATTTATAATAGCATATTTTTTTAAATATAAAAACATAACATGTAAAAAATGTGTATGTTATATAGAATGTATTATTTGGAATTTTCCTTTATGGTGGAAAAGCAATTTTTTAAGTTTGAGGTTTAAAGACAACTTGGCAATTTTTTTCCAGTAGTTCAATTTTTCCGGTCATTGTTATATTTATTTAAAACATTTTTTTGTTGTTTAAAACACTGTATACTTGACAAAAAAAAAGTGAAAATGGAACGTACTTTCGTATCTGAGAAGTCACACATAACAATTTTTTTTTGAAAAATATTTTCTATCATAGATTTTGTGTTATATATATAACGATATAACATATTTTTTCTCCCAGTGAATTTTCTTTCAAAAGTAATGTGTTCTAAGAGTCGGCACGAATAAAATATTGCATCTTTGGGATATCGTATGTACTAACAATCGTATAACTACCTTCTATATATTCTTCTATCCATTTATAACCTAACTAAACATAATTTCAATAGAAACATTCAATTACAAAATATGAGGATGAAATACTCGCGTGGGTGCAAAGAAAGATGTGTTAAGCATCAATTTACCAATGTAACAAATTTACTCCAAAAGGTAAACATTTTTATATTTAAAAAAATAGATTCATGTTTTTTTAAACTTCGAATATTATGTAATATAACATATATAATTAAATTTGTTGCATGAGAGTGAATTTTATAAGAAAAGGGCATGTTTAGAAGATCTCCCATGTTTGAGGATCATGATACTAAAATATAGTCTGTAGAAGTATCGTTCCCACTTGGAGAGTCATCGTAACCAGGAAATCCAACTCCTATTTTCTCAAAGTATTGCAAAATTTTTGTAAACATCTAATCATTTAATACATCTGCCTATATTCATTTCTGGTCATCACATGCAATACTAAATTATGTAAACGAAATATTTTTAGTGCTTTTATCTTTCGTAACTTCGAAACGGCTGGACTTAGCAAAATCAATGTGCTCGGCACATAATAAATATATATAGATTGAATGTTTTTTGAACCATCGATATCAATTCAGAATTTTGTTAAAAATAAGGAGAGATCTTAACACACATAGATAAATACTCACACACAAACACATGCGTTAAATTTTTCAAAAGTACTCCAAAATAATGAGAAAGTGTTGAATTGTAAAGATTTTATAAATATAATTTTATTAAATTTCCGCAGGGTAAGTTATAGTAATAGCAAAAATTCGAAAAACAAAATTTTTGCATATCTTCACGTTTCAGAGATTTCTGAATATTTTGGCGCATCTTAGAAAAAATTGATGTTTGTATGTGTGTTTGTGTGTCTCTAATTTTTTGTCCACGATTTCGGGCGCACAGATCACCCTAGTTTAGGGATTTAAAGCATTCAAATCGTATTGATGGGAAAAAGTGGTGATTAAATTTTGGCATAGGCAGGTTCAGTCATTTTGGAGATACGGAGCTAAATATGCAAAAATAGTATTTAAAAAATCGCTTGTGTTGACGAAACTATTGATTTTGAGAAAAGCTAAAAAATTTTTTGAATTTTTTTTCCAATTTTAAAACATTTTTTTTCCAATTTTGATAAAGATTTTTTTTCAATGAGGTATCTATAATATACTTATATTTTAAATATAATATTATATTAAAAATTGAATGTCTTTCAAAAGATAATTAGATATATGATTAATTAACTATGTGGCATTGGTTTTGTCATCATTAGCATTAGTAAATATCAGTACTAATTTTGCATTGAAATCATAATGAGTGCTAATAATCACTCTTAGTGTAATTACAGCACTCCTTCATGCTTCGCACTGTTCAAAGTATTTCAGACGATGCTTAAAAATAATATAACTTATCAGAAAATTCAACACCGAAATCGAAAAATAATTTTAATCATTTATGTTAGGCATATTACTTTTCTACCAATATTAATAATTACCTATAAATATGGAACAAATTTCAGAAAAAAAACTGAATTCAACAAACATACATCACAGCACATATCAAACAACCAACTCTCGAAATAGAAAAAAAACAGAAAATTTCTCAGTTATTGTCTGAATATAGATTTTTTTTATTGGCCTCGCTTAGTTAAAGCATTTAGCCACTTATAACATTTTCATTTATATATTCCATATAATCTGCATATATATATATTCTACATTATCTTTATATATTCTAGACTCTAGATTATCGTTATATTTATATCCTATTCTATTCAATTTTTTTTTTGCTCTTCACAACTGATTTCATCATTTTTTTTCTAAATCTGATCTTCTCAATTTTTAATCTTGTTTTTTTTTTCTTTCTTATGATTTTCTATTTAAATTCAATTTAACAATTCTATTTTAATTTCAAATTAACTATATTTTTTATATTTTATGTCAACGACAGGATTCGATCCGAAGATCCCTTTCGTGTAAGTCGGACATGCTCTGCTCGCCACAAATATAGAAATATCTTTGCTATTTTTTCTAAAAAAATTTATCTGTTCCCGTTTAATCCAAAGCGCTTAAATATTTCTTGATCAATATGATTTATAAAATTTCTTTATACTTTTTTTACTGTTATTTTGCTTTTCGCATCATAGCCAGCTTAAAAGTCTAGTTTGTGTATATGTGAGCTTTTATAGAGATTATGGAAAACCTTCATGCCCACGGACCTTTGAGCCCCGCTCTACCGTATAACAAGAAAATTTATCCAATACATTAAAAAATAATTGTTAGAGTTGGACAACCTTTGATGAAATTAATTTCTTCTATGTAAAATTGAGCTTTTTCATAGGCTGAACAAATCTCAATTAAAATTCAATAAGAAACATTTACTGACAAAAATCGAGATGAAAAATGATGTAATTTTTACGAAATAGAGGTATGTGGTAAGAGGGTAAAAATTTAGGGTTATATGTGGTTTTTGTATACGCATTATAAAAAAATAAACATTGACCTAAAAAATAAAAAAAAACAGTCTTCGAAGTGGTCAACCCTTACCACTTGGTTTCTCTCAAAATATGCAAAAACCTGTCCTGGGGTATACCTAACAGTTTCCCAAATTTTCACGGCAATTTGATGTATATACATACTTTCATTTTATATAATAAATCTTGCATTTTTCATTAAATATGGTATTTTTCCAAATTATTAATCCAATAAATAAAAAACAATTAGTTTTTTTTAAAGATGTTTATTTTTTTTCTCAAACAACAATATTAGGGATGATGATTACAGAATATTAAAAAAAACTTAAAAATAAATGGAATATGTACCTTTTTTTAAAAAAATTTGTTAAAATATATTTAGAATTGTGAAGCAAAAATTATTTACCTGCGATATTGATCTATAATTCCAATTCACTCACTTTTTATCAAAAGCATATGGAAACAGAATTATCGATAATTATTTGACAAAAAATTATTTATCAAATGGAGTGAAGTGATGTGGTGAATTGCATTATTCATGAATGAAATTAATAAATAGTCAAATTTGAAATCGAAGATTTATGAAGAACATGATACAATGCTTAAATTTTGAAAATCTTGAAAATAAGAAAAAACTAGTATCGCATAAAAAGATAATGTCTTAGTCTATGAAAAACTTAATTACTGTTTACTTTTAATATTTTTTATATTATTATGCTTTCTTTTTGATTTGCTGATTAAAAGTACATTAACATAGATTGCATCACCTTTGTGCATAAAATTATTTTTTTCTAATTTTTTAATTAACATATACTATGTTTTAAAAAAAACCGAATACAAACTTACGAGGCTATAAATCAGAAACAAGTTGATGATACACTAGCACCATTTGATTTTCGACATTTATATGCTAATATTTGGCGTAGTTTTTTAAAGGTTGATTTAATTAAAAAGTTTAACATTTTTATAGTAAAATTTTTATGCGTGGGAAGGAATGTGATTTTAGGTGCGTCATAGTTTTATATCTTCTGTATTAAATTAATTTTGGAAATGTAAAATGTCAACTATACACACACACACACATATATATATATATACTATATATATATATATATATATATATATATATTCAATAAATGGAATTATTTGTAGTATTTTTAACAAAACCAGTTGATATAATAAACAGAGCTGAACTATACCGATATAGGAGAACTGTAAAAATGATTTTATTTCAGCTATTTATATTAGTGATTAATTATTATTTGCTGTTTTTTTATAAATTTTCAGAAACATATGTTCACTTGCAATATAAACGTACATTTAGAATATTCGTGTGATTGAACGCGCAGATTTAACTGTTTATTTTGGGTATAAATTTTTACATAAACTATAACGAATTAAGTAATTTATAATATATGATATTTGTAATTATTTCCTGCATTTTTTGTTGATTTATTTTCTTTATATATAGTCCTAAATTTGAACTTCTTTCAATAATGTACACTTGGCTAGTTTAAATACTCATCAATTAAAAATTTCTTGCAACTTTATATACATAAGTTGCAAGTTTAAATTATTACATTAATAAGTGCAATGTGCAAAATATATATACAAGTGTGAAATAAATTCCAGGCAGATTAAATCAAGGCAGCATTTGTCATTCTACCTTGATTTTTTTTTTGCGGGTTTAGAATACTCATTGATATTATTCATGTATCAACTCAGAATTATTATTAATTTATTGTTTCATATTATTCACTAATTATGCTCATTTAGTTTAGGTTTAAATTTTTTTTTGTGTTCATATAGCAAATTATTATCAATTTCTGGAATCGAAACAATTGCGAAATATAAAAAACACATCATTTTTACTGACTCATTTACATATATATTTTGAACAGGTACAACATTTTACAAATAATATACAAATTTGAAATTAAATTTAAATATTAAATTGCAATAAACTAAATTATTTATAGGTACTCGACAAAAAATTAATTAAATATATGACTGTTTAATTATCTAGAAAAATCTTAATTATCATTAGTTTATCACAATAATCCTTTCTTTTTCAAATATTCGAGGGTTCTCTTGACTGATTCGGGAACAGGGTGCAAATGTGCGCCTTGTGGTACAAATCCATTTTCATCAGCGGTATAATCTACACGGTACACTACGTTGTCTGGTCCGGTGTATTTGTAGTAACCATGAGCTTTCAAAGCTTCTTCATCAGTTCCTTTGTTGTGTAGTTTTCCTTCTTCTTCGCCGAAGATTCTGTTTTCAGTTTCGTACCTGCAAGGAAATATAAATATAATCCAAAGAAATACAAAAATAGTTATTCGGGATCAACTATTATCGTGATACCTTCATGATTGTGTATGTGATTTAGTTTACTTACTCGTAATGGTATCCATCTTCATCTTGAGTTTTGATGTGCTTAATAATTCTCCATCCTCCTTCGAATTTTCCGGTTGGAGATGAAGGACCTTGGTTTCCATTGAAGTTGTGTCCGCCGCCTGTTCCTGGTCTGTTACCATTATTTGGACGACCGCCTGCACCTGCACCCTGGTTTGGGTTACCACCTGTGCCTCGGTTTGATCCTCCACGGTTGCCGGAACCGCTTCCACCTTGTTGGTTGTTTCCATTGTATTGTCCGTTTCCGCCGTTATTACCTCCTTGGTGCACATATTTTCCGGGGTTGTCTCCTTGGTGCACATATTTTCCGGGGTTGTCTCCTTGATGCACGTATTTTCCAGGGTTGTCTCCTTGATGTACGTATTTACCGGCGTCGCTTTGATGCACGTATTTTCCGGCGTCGTCTCCTTGATGGACGTATTTACCATTGTCGCCATTATATTGACCCCTGTCGCCGTCGCCAATGTGAACATATTTTCCATCGTCGCTAGGGTAGTAACGTCCATCATTACCACCACCTACATGCACGTATTTGCCATCATCACTCGGGTAGTAACGTCCATCGTTTCCACCTTGGTTGTACAGTTCCGGTCTGTATTGACCATCATCTTGTGCCGAAATGGCCACCACCAAGATTGCGACGTACTAGAATTGATTCGGATTTGATTAGATGGTTATTTGGTTCTTGTTAGAAAACTGATCTTACGAAAATGTAACTTTATTGTCATAAAAGCAAAAATACTCATATATAAAACGTGGCCAACGTATTAAATTTTTTTTGCAAGATTATTCGTGCCTATTAATTCATGTTCATACATTTTGTCTAATTTAAGGGGCACAACTAGTTCAACCGCCTAAAAAAAGGTGATATTTGGGAATTTATATTAAAAAAAAAACTACTTTATCAATCATTCCAAAATTTCAGTAATAAATTTATACATATTTTAAAAATACATAGTAAAATTTTTGAAGAAAAAAAATAAATATTTTTTAAGTTATCGTCGATTTTCAACGGCGCGACAAAAAAAGGACTTTCACTGCTGCAGTGATTCCGGTCTTCTACGTGGATAAAATTTAAAAAAAAATCTCGTTAAACTAGATAATATTGTTTGTAAAATGAACTACGATAAAGAAAAAAAATAAAAAATTGACAAAATGACAGCGTTTTTTTAAAAAAAGCCGAATTTTACCCAAAATTTTGGTCGTTTTTGGACTGCCAAAATTCGATTTTTGATCCGATCAAAAAATCGATAGTTCATTTTATGGAGAACTATATATAGAACATGTAAAAAAATTGATAGTGATTGGATCATTTGTTTTTGAGTATTGCTGCAGCAAATTCGAAAAATGCTGTTTCGAGAAAAACGCGTTTAAAGATAAAATGAGTGTTATACTATATATTATATATATACTCTTTAAATGGCTGTGACTCAAAAACTATTTAAAATATCGATTTAAAATTTTGGTATGTTATTTTTAAAGGTATAACCTATCGAAATATGGAAAATTTGAAAATTCGATTTTTTGAAAATTTCACACTAGTTGTGCCCCTTAATGTTTATAGCTAAAAAATAATGAGTTCAGTCAATGAAACTAATAAAATTTTCCGAACTCGTTAATTACAATGACTACATTTTCATGACAATCGCTTCAAGATTTAAATTTATTTGTATTAGATTTTTTTTATTTTATTAAAAATAGCTTATCTAAAAAATCTAAATGAGTTATTATTACATAATTGAAAGGAATCCAAAAAAAAATTGGAATACATGAAAAAAAAATAATAGTTTTTCAGAGTTCACTCCGTTGAGAGAAGTTTAGTGTTTTATTTGATGGGCTTGTATTTGTATTATTTTATTACAGTTTTAATTACATAAAGTCAAAAAAAATGTTTTAAGATGAATGCATTTGTATTGCCAGCATCACGCACAATTCACATATAGGAAATATTTAACGATTAAAAAATTATCATTTATTTATTTTATTATCACAATAATGCATCCACTTTTGCTTTTCATTGATAAGCTTTTTTTTGTATCATCTTAATATTTGAAAAAATATCGATAATTTCACTCTTAATATTTCACTTCTACTGATAATGAAAATCTTACCAGGAACTTAAACATTGTTGTTGATGAACGTAAAAGACTACACTGATTCATTAAATTTTGGGTGATTTTATTTATACTCGATCTTGGTGGTGTCAAATGACACATGACCAAGTAGTTGCCACCTAACAGGTAAAAGGTTAACCAACGAAGGCTGGAACAAAGTCAATCTGCGCTAAAATCAGCAAAATATGTAAAATAATAATCATTTGCATTTTTTGGGATATCCAGTTTTAACAATTTTATAATCCACATGGGGCATTATACTCATGATGAACACGAGTCACAATTTGAATACATCGCGGAACAATATCGATCGAGTTTAATACAACAACCATCGAGAAAAACTAGTTGTGCATTAAGGTATAAGGCATATAAGCCATATAAGGTATAAGGTATAAGTATAAGGTAAATAAACAAATTGTGATTTGAAAAATAAAGCATAGTTAGTAGGAGTTTGAAAGTGAAAAAAGTATTCACAAAACAGCTTTAGAAGTTATATTAATGACTTTTTATTTAAAAATTCATGAAATTTATTGTAAGTTCATAAAATTTGACCTTTTGAAATTATTAACGTTAATAATGTAAAGTTTGAATTTTATTACTATTATCACGTACTGCATATATATTTAGAAATATCTTGCAAAAACAAATGTTTACAAAAAAAAATTGGAAAAAAAATTGAAAAAAAAATTGGAAAAACAATAGTAACATTTTATATTCAGATTGGTTCGTCCTACATAATATTGTCATTGCTACTATCCTTTAGGCTGGCGCATTATACAGAACTGTGCAGGTCCGTCATTTTTGACATGTAATTTAAAATTGTACTACTGAAAAATTTTGGTTTACGTCATTATCAACAGATTTTAAATTTAATGTCATTTTGTTTCAAATTTATCAATCTTATTTGATAATGTGCAACAATTTATGTGATTGCTAAATTGTTTAAATAGTTATCTTGATTAATGTAAAAAAAAACACGTTGGATTAGTTGAAACAAAATCTTGGGGTTAGTTGTAACAAGAATAATATACAGACTTAAGTGAAGAATATTGGTGGAATTTATAGTTTACGGGAGACACGATATATTTTATTTGCATTATTATAAGTGTAGTTGATTCATACATTGATTTATTATAAAAATTTATATTACTGGAAATAATTCATTTGTATCAGTTATAGATTTATAAAAAGAATTGCTTAGCAGCAAGTCAAAATTCTTCAAAATATGTAAATAATAAATTATCAGATGTATTATTGTTTTTTTTTTTGCTGTTACTGCTTGCGTCGGTACATGTTACAACTAGCCCCAAACATGGGGTAAGTACTATTAAAAAGTAAATGTTAGAATTTGCAGACTGTAAAGCACCTGAGTGGTTGCTGGAAAATATTCCAAATTTAAGATAAACATAGTATGATATTTTGCATACTTCATACCTAATATATCACCTTCTCAAGAAATATTCAGAGATCACTGCTCACTGTTATATTTATTATATTGAGAAACAGAATTTTATTTTAAAGTACTCTGATAGAATTTGAAATACTCTGAAGAATTTTAAAAAACATATACAAATGCCTATACTGTGATAAATTAGTTCAGATCTGAATAAGAAAAAATAATGCTGACGAATGAATTCATAATTGTATTGAAAACGGTTGTTGCTGTACCTGTCGTGTAAATAATCAAATCAGGCGAAAATATTCGAATTTTTTCCGTGGTCATTTATACACTGTAGTGGCCGAAAGGACTATATTCAACTGTTACATTATTTTTGATTAATATTTTTAAATAGAAATAGATGACCACAGCATTGATGGCATCAAATTGTATGAAGAAATTATGGTTGAACGGCAAGAAGCTGCGCCACGAAGATACCTAAAATTTTAATAATAAAACATTATACATTTTTATAAATAGATAATAAATGAATGTATCAAAATGTTCATGCTGTGAACAAATACTATGTGAATAAAATTTACATGCTTTAGAGTTTAAAAAATCAAAATTATTATAAATTGAAATTTTTAAAAGTTCAGAAAACTTTGCAAAGTTTGAATTTTTAGAAATTTTAAAAAGCTATTATTATAATTATGATAAATTTAAACACATCAATTTGCAAAAATGAATTCCATATATATATATACATATACCTCAGAATAAAAAAAAAAAGGTTTGTGATATTATTAAATAAACCACAAAATTTTTGTTTAACTTGAGAGTATTATTACAACTTTAATTTATAAAGAAATATCCGCTGTAAATATATCACTAAAATTCAACAATAAATTTGACGATTCGGATGATATAAGCAACAGCTATTATTTTTTATGGACAAGGTTATTATGCAAATGAACGGACTCTATATTATCGGATATATAAATAGGTTATAAAGTATCAAAATATTTCTTTTTTATATTGTATACCTAACAATGAGAATTATAATTAGAAATGAGATCTAAGACAGTTTTGGAATACGATTTTTTTAATTGTACTATTGCAAATTTACATAATCCATTTCGATAATAAGTTTATTAGATAAGTAAAATTGAATCATGCATAATTTTTTAAAACTGGAAAGTATTATTAATTTTTGTTGGTATTTTACAGTTTAAAAAATTGCTTGAAAATATTTTTAAGAAAATTCTCAGTTATATTTATATATAAAATTATTCAGGTATATATGTGGGTTGTTACATTTTTCATAATCTTTTCATTATGAAGATAATTGACAGGCTAAGTGTAACCTTTTTTGGTTTCTAACAAATATAAAAATCATATTAATAATTGATATACATTTTATTAAAATATATTCAAATATAAAGTCATTATATAGCATGTTTCTCTGTAAAAGATGTACCTATGACATTCATATTTTGCATTGGTGTAATAATGTAGCTATTATTTCGTTTTGAAATAAAAAATTAGTACCCTGATAAAATATGCGCATTTTCAATGTATTAACAAGATCTTTTTTATCAAACACTTTATGTATTTGTGTGTAAAATTTATTAGTTTTATTATAAAATTTATAAGTAAGCGTCATTTAATTTAATTTGGGTTTCTACCAATGATAATATGTACTTAAAAACTTACTTCTCGAGACAAAAATTGCATTCTTACATGCACATCAGTATATCAAATATTTATACAAAAATTTTAATGTTATGTATAAATAATTTTTTACAAAATTTTCATATAGTTTCCATAACAACAATCAAAGAAATATTAATATAAATTTGGTTTGGGATGAACGATTGTATTATATTAATAATCTTGAATTAATATTTAAATTTTTAAATTTTTCTGTTACAGTTTAATATAATTTCAATAACTATTCGATTGGAAAAAATGCACATATTTCCATATTTTTTTAAAACTCGATTATTTCAAAACTTAATATTTCATAAAAAATACTTCTTTAAAATTTTTAGTATACTTACAATTAGTTTTCATCATAATTTATGAAACAAAATTGAACACGTCTAAAACAAAAAATATCTTATAAAATTACCAAAAAAAGGAAAAAAATACAAATAAAATAAATCATTCTAAAAAGTTGAAAATTCAAAAACAAAAATTTTCATATATTTTAATGCAATTAAGAATATTATATATTCTTATATTAACAATTTCGTATCAAGTATAAAAATAGTACATAACATAAAAATAGCATGATTTCTCATCAAAAACTTGGTAATAATAAAGTATTTTTACGCTTTAATTGTCATTTTTTTTTAAAAAAAGAACTTTGCATCATTGTGCAAAGTTTTTATACTGTAGTAGACTTTCTCCGCCCGTCTTGTCTATGTTATTATGTCGGTAAATTAAGAATAGTTTTACACACAATTTAAATTATTATTTTAACACGTTGACGGACAATTGCGGCTATAGCCGTCAAAGCGAAGTTCACAATGTGGCATGACTGCTATAGCCGTTCAAAACGAAACGGTCGTTTTTAGACACTACGGCTATAGCAGCACAAATGTGCACTTACTGGCGTATACGTAGAATCATAGTGTCGTGTTTTGAAAACATCTTTTTCGGTTGAAGTTCATATTTCACCTGTTATACGAGTTGCAGATTCAGTATGCACGTGGTTGTGAAGGGAGTAGTGCGATCGTGTTTTCTGTTGAATTTATAGTTCTTATTGATACGTTTAACGATATTTATTATTATTTATATAACTATACTGCTACATACTATATGTAGCAGTATGGAATTCTTTCTACATCTTTAAAGAAAAGACAGGTTCTCAAATGAAGTATATAGAGTACAGGGAAGCAATCATACGATCTCTAACTGGTATAGATAATAAACGGGATGGAAGAACTTTGGTTCAATTTAAACGTGCACAAATCCAAACCAATGAAATCAACAACAATGGAACACTGCATTTTCCTGAGAAAATTTCACCTCCTGAAAATTATCAGCGAAAAACATATTTTCAGCGTTGTAAACAATGCTATAAACAGGGAATAAGGAAGGAAACATCATATTGCTGCAAGAATTGCATGTCAAAACCTGCACTGTGTCCTGCACCATGCTTTGAAACATGGCATACCGAAAATAATGTATAATAATTATAAAATTATAATAAATTTTTTTGTCATTTATTTATTTTTGTTTGATTAAGAACTAACATTTCGTGTAAAACTCCCAAAAATACTTTGTTGCATACAAAAATTGCTTGTTTGAACCATTAAACCTGTCATTTACATTTTTAAATTTTTGCTGTTATAGCCGCAACCTAATTAAAGGTACTAAATTAATCAAAATTAAGTTTATTTAAGCAGAAAGAGTAAAACTATACTTCTAACATTCTAAAAATCACAAAAACATATAGTGTCAATTTTCGAACTTCGCTTGTTCCTACTGTCCGTCAACGTGTTAAGCTTAGGTTTTTTTATGAATATTTAAAGATTTTGTAAACAAGTAATATTAACATTTGCTATTAAAATTAAAATCAAATAAATTCAAAATTTGTTTCAGTTTAAACTCCGAAATATTTTAGCAAGTAATTATCATA